GGATACTAAATCTATTTCCCAACGAAGATGGAATATTTGGATAAACATGCCCTGGTTGTTTAGTTGACTTTATCTTAGCATTGCGCTTTTTGTTCCTAGATTTTTTGGCCCCTGGGGCCATTTTAGGTGGTGTGTTATTAGTTTCTATTTAAAAAATTGACTATCACGTGTGAGTTCAATAAGAACGTGTGTAGGCAATTACAAAAACAATAGTGTTATCTTTATTTTTAATATGTATAAAGATTTGCTGTGCGCTTATGTTGCTGAGACTACCGTTCGTTATGAATATCAGATGTGAACTGTGGCAAAAAAGAAAAAGTACTTATCTCAAGTAATTCAAAAGTCTCTTTTTTTCGTTTAAAATCAATGTACACAAGTCTACATCCAGTAAATTACTATATATATATATATGTCGTGTCGAATACAAAATTCTGTGGCAAAAAAGAAAAAGTACTTATCTCAAGTAATTCAAAAGTCTCTTTTTTTCGTTTAAAATCAATGTACACAAGTCTACATTCAGTAAATTACTATAAAAATCGGATCTTAGAACTTTAAAAAAATAATAACAGTATTAAGTGATCTATATCATTTTGTATTGAAATTAAAAAGTTTTAAACATTCTCCTGAAAAAACACTTCTACAATTTGCCATATTACCATAAATTTCTAGGAACTTAGCATAATTTTTTAAAATATGGCAATGCTTTATTCAATTTTAATAAAAAAGGAAACTTCACAAAACCTTATGACACTACCTTCTTTATTTTTATCATGCTTTTTCGTTCTTCAAAAGGTACTTTTGAATTTTCTATGATTTTGAACCTAGAAACATGAAATTAAGCATGTAGAGCTCGGATTAAGTAAGAACATATAAACGGGGACTTTTTGATACTTTTTCGTTATTTAACTGAGTTTGTTATAATTTGAAAGAAATTTGAAATAAATCATTAGTTCTTCAACTGGTACATTTTAAGTTTTCTATTATAATGAACCTTGAAACATGAAACTAAGCAATCAGGGACTTGAGTGAATGGAAATTTAAAATGTATTTATTATCTGGTACTTTTTCCTTATTTAACTGGTACTTTTTGGATTTTCTATAATATTAATTGTTTAATAATTAAACATAGGAACATGAAATTAAATAAAAGAGGAGAGGAGTGGCAATTATATACCTCCCTAGTCACCTAGGCGGGTGGTGGTCGGTCGGCTAGTGGTGACATGGTATATTATCACCTAGAGGCAATGGACGAAAGCTGATTGCCGTATTCAGGGGGTATCCTTGGGATACATACTTATTATTATACCATTGATCTCAGCAGAATCACTACCATACACCCATAATAGAGCGCGATGTCTGTCTGGTGTGCTTTTCAGTGAAGCTCTTGTCTCCAAACACTATGGTGGCCAAATATTTACAAGAAACAATTGTTAAGCCGCCTTTTATACAAATTTATAGCTTTGTAGAGAATGTCTTCACGGACCTAGAGGATATAACCTGGCTAGGTATGTAGATGTTGTTTGGGCAAAATATTGGTACTAACCATTGTGGGCTTTATGTCGACTTTAGGTCCCTTATAGTTGTCTCACTATACCAAATAAGCATTCTTGCTGGAATTAAAGTTTAAAACAAGTTTAATTCCAGTCAAACATTCAAATTTCAAGTGTTGAAATACACTTTAATTCAATAGCATTCTCCAGTGAAAACGAAACTTGAATTCAAGTCGAACATTACAATGTTTTTACAGTAAAATTCAATGCACGAAATCTATATACATACATACATACATATGTAAAATTCTAACGTTACTGACTGACTGATTCATCATCGTAGAGCCTAAACGGTTTTAGCTTAAGAGCTGAAATTTAGACAAGAGGTTGGTCTCCCACCAAATAGATCCACTTAGACGGGATTTTTGGAAATTCGAATGATTAGGGGGTTAAAAATGGTAAAAACGGGTAAATTCGGTAACCTCATATCTCCTAAACTATAAAAGATACAAAAACAGTTTAAAGCTTATCGTCGTTCATTTAAAAAATAAGCGGGCAGGTGTCTGGTACTTTTTTCAAATTCGGCCCCTTTGGGGAATTAACGGGTAGAAACTGTAATTTGGTACTTCTTTTGCACCCCATGTATCTTTTAAACCAGAGAACATTCAAAAAATATTTTTGAATCCTTCATAACTTGACGAACAAACAAAAATATGAATTTAGTACTTTTTGGATATTCGGACGTTTAAGGGGTGAAAATTGTACCTATTTTTGGTACTTTTTTATAAAACATTGTTTTTGGTTTATTAACTTATACATATGAATACATAATAACGGGCTCCCAATACGATGTTGCAACTAGTACTTTTTTGACTTAGAACTTAGAAACATGTAATTAAGCACTTGAGAATCTATAAAAGTGGACTTTTTGGTACGTTCTTCAAAAGGTACTTTTTGAGTTTTCTATTTTTCGTTCTTCGACTGGTACTTTTTGAATTTTTATAATATTGAACCTAGAAACATGAATTTAGGAATGTACAGCCCGGATTAAGTAATAACATATAAAAGGGAACTTTTTGGTACTTTTTCGTTCTTCAAAAGGTATTTTTTGAATTTTCTATAATATTGAACATGGAGTAAGTGAGAACATATAAAACGGGACTTTTTGGTACTTTTTCGTTCTTCAACTTGTACTATTTGGATTTTCTTTTATAATGAACCTAAAAACATAAACCTAAGCAATCAGGGACTTGAGTGAATGAAAATTTAAACTGGAGTATTTCTGGTAATTTTTCGTTCTTTAACTGGTACTTTTTGAATTTTCTAAAATATTGAATATATAAACATAAAATTAAACACGCAGTATCCTAATTGAACGAAAATTTATCTCGCTTACGTCCATTTTGCAAAAAGGGCTCGATATCAATCGAAATCTCTATAGGCCATAGTTGACCCTGCCCCCTTCAATAATTGATTTTAACGTTTTCTACGTACTTAATAATACCATAATAAAACAATTTTTGTTGGAACGAAAATATGTAATGAAATCTTCTTCAGAAAATGACTTAAACGCACATAAATGGCTTTCAAATGTCGATGTCGACGAAATAAACATTTTTAGGAACCGAAACCTACATTTATGAAAAATAAAATTATGAGGATCGGTCCGCCAATATAACCCTCTTACAGAAAATCAGTTTATAGCTAATACATCATTCCAAAAGTTATCATTATGATAGAATTATGGTAGAATTAAAAAAAATACTTTAAATTATATATATTATTGATCCAATTCCACATTTACGTCCCTAATCCGAAAATCACGGTGACGTTCTTATTAATCTAATGATCGGACCACTTCCGAAATTTGCTTTTTTACGACATATGATTTGCCGAATATAACTCTTACTTCTTACTTATTTTAATCATAAATTACCGCTAAAATAGGAATAGTCTTCCTTTAGAGTTGCGAGTTTTCATACATTCTAATAATGTTTTCAAAGTGAAACTTTTGGAATATTTTTCAATCTCTTTGTGATCCCTTTAAATGATGTTGTTCTGGAAGAACTTTAACATCCATGTAAACATTTTGGGTAATAAACTGGGGGACTACCAATGAGGGGAGCGGAACCTCCCATATGAATTAAATACAAAAATTCGTTTATCTGGGAAACTAATATAACTAAATTCTTCAAATTTTGCACGAACAACTTTAATATTCATCTGAACATTTTGGAGAAAAAAGGGCGGACTTTCATCTGGGGGCTTGGAGCTCCCATATGAATTAAATAGAAAAATTCGTATATCTGAGAAACTATTAGAGCTAGAATCTTCACATTTTACTGAAGAACATTTAGAGAATAACGGGCGGACTTTCAATGGGGGGCTTGGCACTTCCCATATGAATTAAATACAAAATTTTGTATATCTGGAAACTATTAGATTATTCAAATTTTTCATAGATTAAATTAAAATCTTAATTAACGTTCGGAATAATTGGCGAAATTGCAATAATTTGCGTGGAATCTCCCATATGTAACAAATTGTATATCTGGAAAACCATTGTAGTTAGAATCATCAAAATTGTTAAGTAGGTTTCTTATTTATATTGCTTTTAGGGTAGCACAGCACACTGGGTATAGCTAGTAAATAAACAAATAAAATATCTTTGTTTTTACGTTATTGATCATTTTCTTAATACAAAATTTTTTAGAAACTGATTTTCTACAAGATGTTTTATATGGAAGATAGGGTTAAATATCGGCAGATCCTAGTAAAACTTGGAGAAAGGATTTGTTTTTATTTTTTAAGAATTTTTTATTCATCCCTGCATAATATCTCATGCAACTTTTGAGTTTGCTCTGTTTTGTTGTTATAAACAATATATTTGCTTCCAAAATCCTACTTTCTGATCTCTCGGATTCCGTTTTTATTTAAAATCGTTGAAAAATTAAAAACTAAACGTAGTTGAAAACTTAGCCGGCTTACAGTCGATTTTAAGCCGCCGCCGACATATTTAGTGTCAGTCGCCGCCGACGTTAATATTTGTCGGCGCAGGGATCTGCAACATACAATCAGAGATACAAGCCGAGGCGGCTCAAATCGGCGGCGGCTGGCCGCCGGTAATATTTTGCAAGCCGCGCCGCCGCCGACTTCTTTCGGCTCAAAAGCTAAGCCGGCTTAAACGTAGCCGCTGATAAAGATTAGAATTGCACATGTATTTCAGAACATAATTTCACCAATTTGAAAGGAGTTGCCACTATTTTAAATTCTTATGGCAAATTGAAAAGAGTTGCCACACAATATTGTGCTAATATTAAAATAGTGAAAACTACTATAAATTTCCATTTTCTGCAGAAAAAAACTTATAGAGAGACAGGTTTCTATGTAACATACTATTATACAAAGATTTTTCAATATAATAAACCTTATAAGGTCAATTTCTAAAGAAAAAGTTAAATTGAGCCGACAATTTAGCCGCCGCCGATATTTTCTGTAATAAGCCGCCGCCGCCGACCCAAAATGGTTGCGCCGCCGCCGCCGATCAATTCGCATCGGCTTGTATCTCTGCATACAATTCTTTGAAAGTTGATAAATATTATTTAATGTTAATAATACTGCAATAAATAAGACAAGTAAGTTAAATATGAACAAATGTTCAATTTTGGAATATAATTCTTATTTTTTTTTTACAGATTTCGATCTTGTCATCCGAGTCCTCAAATTCCATTATTTGGCACTGGATGATTAATACTACATACGCAAAAACGTTTATACACAAATTTCCCTTATTATGTATAATGGAATAGGATTAACCACTCCGCGTGGTTCTGGCACTAATGGCCACGTACAGCGTAATTGGGCTTTTGTACGACCTGGCAAAAAGGAGAATTCAAATTATCGTTCCGAGGAAGATATAAAAAAATTGGACGCTACTTTAAATCGTCCACCCAACAAGGATATTTTAGATCATGACCGCAAAAGAAAAATTGAGGTGAAATGTTTGGAGTTTGAAGAAATTTTAGAAAAACAAGGGTAAGTAGGATACACGTCGAAAATGTACATATTGAAGGGCATGAAATGCTTCCCTATACATATTAGCATTTATATATGTATGTACCCAGCAAAAAAGTAAGGAAAAAGAAGTAGAATTTTCACCACAAATAACATACTTGAAGTACTTCCAATTTTGGTGAAAAACCTATGAATTTTACATTAGCGTGTCATTAGAGGGATGTTGTTCATTTTTGACAACTTTGAACTACATCTAATCTTATTCATAGATGCAGTAAAAATCCGATATTTGGATATCAAAAATAAACATTCTTTCAATGACACGCTTATGTAAATTTCATTAGTTTTTCACCAAAATTTGATGTACTTCGAATATGTCATTTGTAGTGGCTTTTCAACATCTCTTTCCTCACTTTTAACTCGATTTTTATTTGTAAGGAAATACTTGGTTTATAAAAGCGAAAAATATGTAATCGCATTTTTAGATGTGATTAAGATGTCGTTTGTAAAGTATGACATCAATTATTTTTTGCTGGGTACATATTAACATTTTACGCAAAAGTGTTTTAAAAAATCAACTTTTTTGTAAGAAACAAAAAAGAAAAATAATTGAAAATAAGTATTTATTTTGGGTTGCTTGAGCCTTTTTTTGGAACCTTACAATCAACCAGAAAAAACTCGATAATAATAAATTTTTAATTTTTTTCTACGATTTATTTACGAATTACTTTGTACCCCCAAACTGAAAGTAAGGAATGGAAGATTTACTTGGCCGGTCCAAAGGACAAAAAGCCACCAAAATTAAACATAACAATTCTCTGATTCCTGCTGTTTCAAAAATTCTGATCACGTGAAAATCTTTCCATACATGCTCACCTTTTTACGGATCGCATTAGAATATTATATTTCCCACTCATTCCAGAGTCTGTCAGATAACTCATTTATGGAATCCCTCGTAGGCCATCTCACATAAAAAAATTTACTTTCCTATATATATATTTCAGAAATTCTTCGCTCTGAGTCTTATTCCAACTGTTATTAGAGTCCTCTTGATCTGATTATATTTTTTGAGATTATTTATGTCTCCACATTTGACTGATAGATGTTGGGCTGGATATTTCCTTCTAAAGTTTCAGAAAATTTTCATGCTTCCTATTCTTAATGTGATCACGTATGCTATTTTCCAGCGTTTTATGTCGTGTTGCATTTCTGGTTCTGAACAATGTTTCAGACTCTTTATCCCACAAAGCCTTTGGTGTAAAGGATTTGCCGGCTTTTACAGTTATAGAGCTATTTTTGAATGCCTTACGAAAATTGTCCGAAAATTGTTGTCACCTAATTCCATAGATTCTATCGATTTTCTCAATTTGCTATGGATAACTTTACGGACTGATATGATGTTACCGTTCTGTGAGAAACATTAAAAAATTATGGGTTTATGGTTACTGCCCTTAATTTTCACGTTCAGGGTTTCCCTTGATGAACATTATGCAGGAATCCGGTGAGAGTTATATCGATGGCGGATTCACTGCTAGGGCCTCTAAATGTATTTGTTCCATTGTTCAAAATCACATTACCAAAATTTAAACTTTTCAAGATAAGACCCTTGTTGTCCGAAATTGTGTTTCTCCAATTAATAGACTGCATTTAAATCTCCACCTAATGTGCATTCTGGAGTTTCTAAAAAAGTGAATAGATCGGCTAACAAAATATTTCATATCGTGACGCATTCATATCTGGGGCCATCTAAATAAATATTATGTTTATGTTGTTCCTGAAGTGGTAATGGAGATTACCTCATCATCTGTCTCAATTCTGTTGATGCTGAACTTGATTCGCCTTATGTATAACCAATGCCTCCATACCCGTCATTTCCATACTTATTATAATCTCTCAAACTAGTATCCTTATTATTCATAAGCCAAATTTCAGATAGTAAATCAAAATTGATATCATTCCTGTACATGAGAAGTTTTAATATTTCTATATTCCCCTTTCTTCCCAAACTCTGGATATTGTATTGAAAAAATTTCATCGTATTTATTTTCCCTTTTCCGAAGCACCTTTAGACGGTGCTATAATATCGTTTCTGTCTTTCGTAATATCGTTTCGATTTGGCAATTTCGCCCAAAAGTTTTCTGTCATTCCCACCAAAAGAAGCATTACCCCATTTTTCAAAGAATGAATTTACAATTGATATAATTTAGGTAGCAATTTTTTCTACATCTGATATAGAATGCGGGTTTTGAATTGATATGTTTCCCCCAATTGATACGTTATGTTCCTTTATGGTCTCTCGTCATTCTGACATGTTCTTCCGTGCACTTATCTCTGCCTTCTGTCTATTAGGGTTGTCAATTATTCGTGTTTAAAATTATTTGAATAAAAATGTAATTCGAGTAGTCGATTAAATTTTAAAAATTATTCGATTATATAAACATATAAATTAGTTTGAAAGGTGGAGGACACTATTTAAATAACTTTAAGAAGTATTGTTATGGAGTAGAATTGTAAGCCATATTTGGTCCCAAGGGCTTAGTTTTTAATTTGTAAAAATAAATAAAATAATATATATGAGCAATTATCAAAGTTTTTTAATTTTAGAGTTAAAAAAATCAAAAAATTTTTGATGGCACATTTAAAATATTTTGTGTGGATATAAACAGACCCTAATACGTGATGAATCCGTTCGCGTTAATCATTTTGATTGAGGGGGCAAAAGTTATAGCGGTTTTCACTTAAATATTTAAAAAAATTCTTAAAAATAGTATTTATATACGTAATATTTGAAAAAAATTGCACATAATTGTAAAAATAATTCAGATTTAGCGCATTAAATACATACCATAAGATTTATTTTAAAAAATTTTAAAAATACACAGTAAGAAATTTCATTTCATTAATTTTGTAACTTGTTGCTTATAGTTTTTAAAAAATCACGAATTAGTAAATTTAAAAAAAAAAAAAAAACTGTTAATATCTGCATTCTACGAGTTTGATTTATAAGGGAATGCAATTAAAAAATTATAGTTTGAAGGAATTAAATATTTATAGAGTGATGCTTTTTGATGCTAGGTACATTTTATTTAGCCCACAAAAACTACAATTATTTAACTTTTTTGATGCGCCCCAGTTTTACATTAAAGTATTAAGAAAACTTGCAAATTTTGACGAATTTTGAGCATCATCCATGATGTGCCTTGACAAAATGTGTTAAGATAAAAGTGATGTCTTTGTATCTTACAAGGACATTTTAAATACATTTATGATTCCAAACCATTGTGTTTGTCATTATCTTCATGTCTATTCATTAAATGTTTGTATAAGTCGATGTTTGATATATAAAATCGCAAAAATAAAAAGATGAAATTTTGCAAAATTTTTAAAAAGTTCAAAAAATTTTTGCATTCGAATATTTTTGCATGCTCCTCCGATTTTATATTTCAAAATAACAAAAAACTCAATTTACGCAATAATTCAAATGATTTCCTATATAAGTGCGAATGTGCCGCGCCAAAAACTGATATTTTAAAAAATGTATGTTCAAGTTTTCCAACTTTTGTAGCTGTCGTACCGATCTCCTATTCAGGGCACATTAACGAGATATATACCATACTGTGTATAATTACATCAGATAACCACTGTTGTCCCAATTTTTGTATTTTATTAAGGAGCGTCAGCGCCCGGTCAAAAAACTGTAAAAAATTTAAAATTGGAAAAAACCTGGTGACAAATTTCAACATCCAAGTTCTAATACGTAAAGTGATATCACACGGATAAGCTTGTAAAGAATTTATCTCCTAAGTGTCTTTAGTTAGCACTATAACGGAATAGGGTCCAAAAGTTTAAAGCTATGGACCAAAAAATAAAAAGAAGGTGAAAAAATTAGTTAGTGACACACTATATATCAAATCCGAAGATATGTCTATATATCAAATCCGAAGATATACACCTAAGCCTCTATCAGACCAGTTGTGCGCTTCTTTACCAGTGCCTCAGGTGTGACCAGTCTACCAGACTAGAACTTAACCTCCCGATTAAAAGAATATATATGCATATGTCGGAACTTTTTTGTTCTTTAACTGATACTTTTTGAATTTTATGTTTTATTGAACATATAAAAATAAAATTTAACATGCAGAGTCCTAAATGAATGATAATCTGTAAGCAGTAAATTTTTTATTATTTAACGAATTTTCTATGATATTGAACTAAAATTAGGCACGAAGCATCCTAAGTGAATGAGAATCTAAAAAAGGAAACTTTTTATTACTTTTTATCGTTGTTTAACTGATATTTTTGAGCCTAGAAGGTTAAAATCAAGAACGTAGGGTCCTGATTGGAAAAATCTGTATGAGAGACTTTTTTGTTTGGTTTGGTTGTTCAATTGGCACTTTTTTTCAATTTTCGATAATTTAGTATATAAACATAAACTTAAACACACATCGTTCTTATTGAATTATAACATATAAAAGAGAACATTTGGGTACTTTTTCGTTCATCAATAGACAAATTGTTGAACTTAAAAACATAAAATTAAATAAACAAGGTTCTAAAAATCTGTAAGATATTTATTTTTTTAATTTTCTATAATGTAGCACCAAAGAACATGGAAGTAAAACTACACAGTCTGACAATCTATAAGAGATATTTTTTTGTGCTTTTTCTTTCATAAAATTTATGTAACAGTACCCAGCAAAAAAACGTGCAAAAAAATAATTTTTTTGAGTGATATTGACAAAAATAGAATAAGATAAAACATAACTAACTGATTTTGATTGGATTTAAATTCATGCAGAGGAAAAATACCCATTGTGTTTTAAAATCCTTTAAGCAGTCTTGGTTTTTTCCTTCTCTTATTAATGGACTTAATATTACTAATTTTAATGGACTTAATATTTTTCATTTTTAATCTTTATTGTATGAAATGCACGTTTTCGTTAAATCTCCTAAGAGAATACCAAATTACAGTAAAATATTACAATTCCTATAGTGGAGTTACATGAGTGAATTTTGGGTGC